CGCCGCCGCCGCAAGTCGGCTCTGGCGTGCCGTTCCACGGAGCGGCGGCGGCGGCCGGGAGCGGACTGCAGCTCAGCCGGCATCAGCGAGCTCCGCTGCCGGCCCATCCACAGTGCTCACGACCAGACAGTCACCCACCGACTCGTAGTGGTATAGGAAGATTATTAACGCTCGGGGAGCGACACCAGGCAAAAGACACAAAGAAATGGGCGCCAGTGACATCAGATCAATACGGTTGCTGCCCATGCAGAATTTCGTGTCGTGGTAGCCGCGCCCGGGACAACGGCCATGGGAAGTCCCGCATGGCCGTCTCGCCAGACCGCGCTGCTTGGCAAGTGATCGTCTCGACACAGCTGGAAATTGTTTACGGAAAAAATCCAGTCACTCTTCTAGCTTTTAAATAAGTGGGACATAGATAGGTTGGCTGGATCGGGGAGACTGACCAATTTTGAGATGTCGAGAATGAAGCTATCTGGCAAGCTTCTTACATTTGAAGGGCATTTGCTGCCTATAGGGCTTCGTAAGCAGGCGTTTCTAAGGAGTCCATTCTTTCATGCTTAACCGGCCCGTAGTCTTCTCACGTTCAAAAGAGTGAAATAATAAAAAATTGTCCATTTCGGGTGAAGTGAACACTTCAAAGCTAAACTAGGCCACCATAGGATAAGCAACGGGAGCAAAAGGTGTGACATCACTAACGTGTCAGTTTATTTATTAGAGTGGAGCACAAAGTCCCTTACTGGTGTGAAGTGGGTCAGTCATGTCCAGTACTCCCCGGACGCATGGCTCACAAATGGCGGAGCTCAGCCTGCCCGACATCTGTGTACATGGGCTCTATCACTGAGGAGTGTCAAGAACACGATGGAGTTACAGTCGCTGTGTGACGAAGACCCATATCTATCTAGTTACGAAACTAAGGTATGTCAAAGAGGCAACTGTCATCCAAGACATCGCATGGACAACCATCTCATGGTCTCATGATCCGAAAAAGAAATCTAAAACAAACCAGCCTCCTAATTAATACCTACTTATAATACCTACTAATACCTCTTACATTTGGAATTCCTGCGGAATACCTTCTACAGACGAAAGCTTTCATGGTGCCCACTTAACACGTGACCCAAATCTCCCCACCTTACCCGATGTTTTCCGTTTATATGTAAGGTTTTGCTCAAGACGAAAACGACATTCAGAGAATGACTTTTTACCACCACTCCTCACCAGTTCAAAACCAATTGCTTAAGTGCCCAGTGAACGGCCTGCTCTCAATGTATGTTGAAATGTTTGCACCACGTGCGTATCATCCGTGCCAAAAAGCTGATGCTCCCTCCCACGACGCAGAATTTCAAATGGTAAGTGCGCGCATTTCACAAATGCCCTCATGCAGTTTATTTGTGCAGTTCAAAGCTGTCTTCACGGCGTGTTGGTAGTGTATGGGGGAATCCTCGCGTGTAAAGTAGTTGAATGTCACCTGTAGTAAGAGCATCACTATTTCTCTGGTTTTTTGCATGAAATATCACTCCAGTTCTTCCTGTGCTATGCCTTCAATCCCCGATCATGCGTGATCACATGTTCGGCGTTACCACATTCAAAATGTCATGCACTTTGATAGCATATGTTTATCTACAGCATGTACTACAGTACAAAGCCTAGCTCATCACATAAACTCAAGACATCCGAAATCACCGCATTATGTCATGTCAAAGAACTTGTTTGATCCCCCAAACATAGACATTTTTTATTTGCATAAAGGGCATGATATTTTGTTGTGACCTTTAGGCGCTCATGGCGACAGACGTGCGGACATCAGTGTAGTTTTAAAAAGCACGTAATATTAGATAATTCAACCAGGACGTTGGAGCGTCGGATGCCATACTAGGTATGTTTTTGGATCGGAGGTGCAATGAACTGCGTGTACTCAGAAACAAATCAAAGGAAACGGCACTTGATATTGCTGGGGCGACAAAAACGGATCTTCACATCCTGCACTGGTGGAGATCCTTTTACTACAGAACTACCAGAACTGCACTGCCAAAGGCGTTTTCGGTGACATGTTTTGATTTCTAATCAAAGTTGTGATTGTATTATAAATTAGCTTTGTGAAGACTAGACATGTGACAATGCTTATTCAGTCCTCTGACAAAATATGAGCTTATTGTTTATTTAGGAAAAATCAAGCTCACTAGTTCTTCATATTGCAAGCGCTTGCGAAGTTCACATTTCGCGGGCATCGAGGCTAACCATAAACGTTAGCATGCAAAATGTTCCACCATTTATGCCCAGTGTCCCATGTGGCATGCATTAGGCATCACCATCGACAAACATTTAGGTAGGAGAATCACCCATCAAATGGCATAAACAAGCAGTGCTACCATCAGTGCAAAGTACAAAACGCTACCAGCACCGAGAGCAGTACTATACGTGCTGTCATATTTGGACAAACACTACTCTCCCATGGGGTCAGTGTTGGAGATGAAATTTGGTGGTAGCCCTACATTACTCGGAAATGACGCCTAGCAGAAACAAGCTAGGCGAGCCGGGGGAGCATGACGTTCCAACGTATTTTGTTCAAAAATTATTCCACATGCCAAATCTATCTAATTACAGAAACATCCAAGCAAAGATCTCGGATGCGGTGACAAGTACGCAACGTGCTAAATTGCAGTGACTGAGGCGCATGTACATGTGATACAGCCATGCAGCCTTGCATTCATAGTCGAGGCCCATATAAAAATCACTTGTGCAGTGGAGCCAGCTCACTGCCTGTAAGAAGTCAGAGACGGAGTGCACGAAACTGCTTGACTTGCCCAGTAAACCTCCGCCTGGGTAAGAAAGCCGCTCTCCTACAGCGTCCATTGGACTTTCAACTGTTAGAAAATTTGCAGCATCCGTGCCGCGGAAGTGGCCTTCAACACACATTCCCCAATGCGTGCTCAATGCGAATTTGTGGTTGCAAGTGTGGCTTCATTGACAGACCACGATCATATATCTCAGACCCCACCCCGT